AGGCGTGCTGTTGCTGGCGGCCGAGGCGGTGAGCTGCTGGTGATGTCGCCCTGAGGGTGGTTGAGGTAGCCCGCGCCTCGTAAATCAAGCTGCGCACACAACGCGGCCAAAGGATATCCACCTCGAGAACCTCGAGAGAAGCTGCGCTCGGAGGCAAAATTCTTTTCAACGCGGCGAGGGCGGTCGAGTGCAGGGAGCTAAGTGCCTCGCCGTCCTCGCAGGAGTCGCTTAGGCGACTCCCGTGGTGTACCTGTGTTAGTGCCAGTGCGCGCCAGTCCCGTGCCCAGTGTCGTGCGAGGGAGTGCCTGTGATAGTGCTAGCACGCGCCAGTTCGCACCTGTGTCGAGCCTGTCTGCCGGGCTGGTATTCTTTTCTTTCCCCACCGCGTTTCAGAAGCAATCCTTGTCCCGCGTCTCACCCTGCTTTGTGGTCCTCCTTTGAAGACTGTCCTCTACAGCAAACAGGCGCACACACGCCACCGCTCCGCGCTCTCGCACTCTCAACAGCCTCGTCAGGTCGACTCGCACAACGCTTACCTTGCGTGCCGTCTCTGCACCCACCGCGCCATGTCGGCGTCGCTCGCCCCGCCTCTGCACCTCTCTCTCTCTCCCTCCCTCTGCCACACCGCAATGCTCAAACCCAAGCACATCGTGTCTAATCAGCATCGTCTTCCCGCAGAACTCGCATGCTTAAACCTACCATCGAGCGCTCAAGCTCGGTCGCATCGGTGCCGTCTCCGCTCCGGCCACGCCTCGAGCGCTCAAGCTCGGTCGCATCGGTGTCGTCGCCGCGCAGTTCGTGCTCACATGGCCGGGCCCTTCTGATCTCTGTCGTCGCCCTTCTGATCTCTGTTGTCGCCAACGCGGTGTTGGGCTGGGTGGTTCTCACGCTCGTACGCACAACGGCGCCACCCATCCCTCCTCCGCAGCAGCCGCGCCTCGCGGTGTCGCCGCAAGGCTCCACCGAACAACTGCCTCTGACTCCGCCACCACCACCGACTGTGCGGCAGTCAGCCGCCCGCCCTCTGCCGGCCAGCCCTCCGCTGCCGCCACCACCGCCACAGGAGATTCAGCGCCGCGAGAGGGAGAAGATTGACCCTCGGCTCGGACTCGGTCGTGCACGCCAGCATCGACCTCGAGGGTCCGTCGCAGGGCGTGGCAGGATGTACGATATGCGGGACCGGGGTGCAGCCAACAACAGCATACATTTGTGGTTCCACCGACACGTGCATAAGACTGGAGGCACTACTGTGCGCGGCATCATGGCTTCGCTTAACAAACGTGGGGATGCCATAGTGCGGAGAGGGAACGCCCCCTGGTCGGCAGGACTCCGGCACGCGGTGTGCATCACCGGCTCCGAGCGGTCCTTCTCGGAGATCGGCCTGAACGTGAAGGCTGGGGTGGAGGACCTTCTCTCGACGCCCAACGGCACCAGTGTCTTTTTTGGCGTCCGGCCCGTGAATGAGAGCTGGACGCACCTTCGGCGGCTCCTTCCGCTGGCCGACGTGGAGCCACAGGGCAGCTGGTGCCGCGAAGCGCCCGTTGAGACGCCGAAATGGTACCAATGCTCCAACCGTGGCCGTGTCGACTGCCGTCGCAACTTTGTCCAGTCCCTCTGCGACCTGATGCACTGCGAGCACATGATCAGCGCACACGAGGTGCGCGAAGGACGCCCCTTCGACTCGGTCATGCGCGTGCGCCCTGACGCCATCTGGGAGTCACGCCTCGACTTCCCTTGGCCACTCGACAACCGCTCGGTCTACGTGCCCTACATGGAGGCCAGGGTCGGGCGGCCGCCGCGCTCGGGGGTCAACGATCACATGGCGCTGGGCGGCCGGCTGGCGATGCGCCTGTACCTCACTCGCATCCGCTACGCCACGATGAACGCCACGGAGATCCAGGCCGGGCTCCCGTTTGCATTTGCGCCGCCGGCCACCTCTGAGCTCTTTCTGCGCGCAACCTTGCAGCGCGACCACGTCGTGGTCAAGCCGCTCGGGGGCTGGGCCTACTGCATGCTGACCAAAAACTCGCTCATGCTGCAGGGCAAGCACTCATGCGTCAAACGCTGGCAGAGGAGCCAGCGGTGCGGCAGCTTGGAGTGCCCGGTGGTGCTCAACGGGTGCTTTTGCCACAACGCGACGTGCAGCAGCCTCGCAGCCAACCGCAAGCTAAAAGACCCCGCTGGGTGCTCGGACGTCGAGGGCAGACAGCTCCTACCCGACCTGCTAAACATGTCGACGCGCTCGTCAAGCCCGCCCAGGGGCAACCGCTCGTCGCCTCGTGGCGGCCACCGCCACCATATGACGATCGGCCGTCGATCCCGAAGGGTCGTCGGTTGAGCTAGGGAGCCTGGCGATGGACGCCACCGCGACCCCTCGTGGCATCTCTCTCGCCGTCGGCGAGCTGGGGGCTCGCGGACGGCCGACTTTCTATATGACCAGTAGGACAGCCGTGAGTGTGAATCAGATAAGGAGTTTGCGTCCGTCCACCGTCTTCGTGGACGTCTGTCCTCGTGACACCCACACCCCACACGGCCTGTCTTGCTTCTGTCGTACCGGTATCAGCCTCACTTTTGAGCATCCGGGACGATCCTGCCATATCCATACCGCGACGTGCGGGCTGCGCTCAGGGCTGCAGCAGCGCCGCTCAGGGCCACGCCGTCGCCAGGAGAGGCGGGCGGCCCGACGGGCAGCGCTTCCGGCATGGTTCTGGCAGAGGTTTCGCCGTCCGGGGACGGCGGGGTGGCCGCGGGGGCTGAGACGGAGGTCGAGCGCATCGTCGAGCTCCTCGTGGTAAAGCGGGGCGGGAAGTCCCTTGTCCTATCATTTGGAGACGATCAGCTGGCTGTTGTCGCCGAGGCTATGGTTGGCCACGGGACGAGCGCCGCGGAGTTGCGGGAGAACATGCTCGGCGACGCGAGCATGGTCGACGCCGTCTCGCCGTACTTTGCGAGAGCCGCCGACATGGACACGCTGCCGCCCGGGCGGCAGGCAGTCCTCCGGGCGTGGTGGCTTGGGGCCGCCCAGGCTGGAGGCACCCTGCAGGTGGCCCGATCGGCGAGCGCCCCGCCGGGGCGCGTCGCGTCGGCGCCGGCGGCAGCGGAGGAGTCCGCCCTGACCGAGGTACAGGTCGCCGAGCTGGCCAAGCAGAATCTCAGCGCGGCAGGCGCGCTCGCACTTAGCGTCTCCCTCCTCACCGGGTACGTAGTCACAGACAAGGACCTGGCGAGCGGGGGAGCGGTCTTCGAGGGCGCAGTCTACGGCCGGAACCTGTGGACACTCAAGTGCGTGCGACAGGCCAAAGACGACCCGGGCAGCCTCCACCATGCCCTCAAATCTGTGGCGAGCGGAGCCAGGTCGTCCAGCATCTCCGCAATCTGGGCAAAGACTACCGGGAGAGGGATATGCTGGCCGAGGCCTCACTCATCCTCGAGTTCTCGTCTGGACTGGGCGACATCACGGAGGCAAGCAGTTCTTCACCTACATCGAGCGATTTTTCCGCAAGTACCCGGGGCGCGGCCTGCCGGAGCTGCCGCTCGACCGCATCCTTCGCGACGACGTCTACCGCGAGCATGAGAGGTCAGTCGAGTCGTATGGGAATTCCGGGAAGCGGTGCGAAGAAAGAAGAACTCTTAAAGAAACAAAGAATTCCCATACGAGTTGGTGTCGACCTGACTGTTGTTCATCTTTCTACATACATACATACATACATACTAGAATAAGCATCTCGAAAGAAGAAAAGCGAAGCGAAGAATCAGTCACCAGCCTCCGTCCTCCCATCCCTCCCTTGGGTTGTCTTACTAGCATCCTTCCATTCAATCATAGAGGTGTGCCTTATATGGTGAGGAGTCGGCCGCTCTCGAGCACACGGCGCCCGCCTCGCCCCCACGCACGCACGAGCGGGCACGACCAGGGAAGCAAGTTCATCTGCGTCACCGCCATGCCATGCCCCAGCTGCGGCCCGTGCTTCGCCTCGAGTGCATTTAGCAGTGCCGCCTGGCCCGCGAGGCCGATCCGGTTGAACGAGACGTTCACACGACATCCTTGACCCGCGGCCGGGAGGGCAGCCGCGAGTGCCATCGCGCCCTCGTCGCCCACGTCGCACAAGACCAAGTTCAGCCCATGCGACGGCTTGCCCGTCGCCAGCGTCGCAGCTAGCGCCACGGCTCCCTCCTCCCCAATAGGCGTGGAAGCGACGTTGAGCATCTGCAGCGCCGGCGCCACGCCGCGATGGAACACGCCGCAAAGCACGCCGACGCCGCGCGCGCCGTAACGGTTTGACCCTACGTAGAGAGTCTCAAGCGCCGAGAGCGCGCCATCCTCGAGCGCCGCCGCAAGCTCCGCCACGCCCTCGTCGTCGAGGCGATTCCCAGCGAGGGCGAGGGTCCGGAGGCTCTCGCAATGGTTTAGCGCCTCCGCCAGCAGCGCCGGGCTAGTCCACGCGTCGCCACGCACGAGCGGCAGACCGATGTAGTAGAGCTTCTCGACCGTGCCCAGCACGGCCTTCGCCGTCCTTTCGTAGAGCGCGAGCACGGTCGACGAGTCGGCGCCGTTAGTGAAGCGGCAAGCGGCGAGCAGCGTCGCCATGCGCTCTGGAGCCGTGGGGAGCCGCCGCTGAGCGCCGCCGTCGTCGCTGGCGACGTCGATGACGAGCTTCCACTTGGCAAAGCCCAGAGTTGAGAGCTTTGCGCCCAGCTCTGCCGAGCACCGCTCGAATGTCGTCCAGCCGCGAGCGTCGTAGGTCCGGCTCCGGTCAAAGCCGGCGGGCAGCTCGTCGGGCAGCTGCGTGAGCAGCACAACCGTGACCGAGGCGTGCGCGTACCAGAGGTCCTAATGCGGAATGTAAAGCCAACGTGCCGTGAGAGCGGTGCACATGATGAGGCGCTATCCGGGAGAGATAGCGGGAAGGGTCGGCGTGTGCTCACCATCGTGTTGTCCAGCATGCGATCGAAAGCGGCCTTCTCCTCGCCCGATCGGCTCGCCTCATACGCGTGCTGCTCGGCAAACAGCAACGGGTCCTTCTGGTAGCCCGAGCACCAGTCCAGAAACACGCCCTGCGCGAGCCAGGAAGGGAGTAGCGGTGAGGAGAGTAATGGTGGGCATGAGGCGCGGGAGAGGCAGCTCACCATGTCCGAGAAGCCGTAGTCGCGGCACGCGCCGAGCAGGCCTCGCCCGCCGTAGAGGCCCCGCAGCTTGCGGGAGAGCAGCTGGAGCTGGCGGCCCTCACGATCTGGATGCGCCGCTTCGAGCCAGCAGTAGGAGACGGAGATGATCGGGAGAAGGCGGTCGGGGTTGCGCTTGCGGCCGAACACACTCGCAACATAGGCGAGAAAGGACGAGTGGGAGGGCTCCTTGGTCAAGCGCTCTAAGGCTTCCTCAAATCCGGCGGTGTTGAAGCCGCGCCTGGCGCCTTGCTCGATCCGCCTCAGCTGAGCAGCGCTTAAGAAGGCCTCCTCCGGCAGGTCCTGCCGCCGCGGGAGCACGCCGCCCCCCTCTGCCAGCGCCATGAGCCAGTTCAGACTGATCAGCCGCACATCGCCCGGCCGGACCTTGTCGCCGTCGCCCTCGAGGGCAGCCCAGATGGAGTCGTGCTCGCGGTAGCGGGCGCCGTCGTTGGTGTTTGCGCGCGATCGTTCGCGAGTGTGAAGACCGGACTCGGTGTCGGGGAGCGTCAGACGGCGGTAGGGGAGCTGTGAGGCGCGTCGGCAGAGGCTGTAGACGGTGAGGATGAGAGGACTCCGGAGGAAGAGACCCTCGACGAGTGCTGTCGCGAGGAGTAAGACGGCAATCGGCAGGTCGACAACGAGCACCATCGGAATCAGATACGGAAGGCGACGCCAGGCGAGGAGGGCGGGAGGCACGCCGACAGCAGCGTCGGAGCTGCAGAGGCCGAGCGCGAGAGGTGGTGCGTGGAGAAGGTGGAGTGGAAACAGAATCAAATGGAAGGCAGGCGAGACCACGAAGCCCACGAGGGTCACAACGCACGAGCGCAGCAGGCGGGCGGTGAGACCCATGCAGCAACAGAGCAGCAGAAAGCTGCAAGAAATGGCGTGACAAACAGGCGGGTCGGCGACTCGTTTTCCATGAATTCTTTTTTCGAATTGGGTTTGCGACGAGGTGTATTCTTGAGCGACTACTTTTTTTCGCGGGCCTCCCACTCCCACAACTACCGCGCGCTAAATACAAGGGCGGTGGCGGTGGGGAGGGAGGGTGGCAGGTGGAGAGAGAAGTGTCGGGATAAGCGATGGTGAAGGCATGGAGGAAGTACGCGAGAGAGATCGGCGGAAGTGGAGGTGTGGGTTGCTGCTACGTTCCTAAGATAGCGACAGTGAATTAGTGCTGATAACGGGACTGCGATACGTGTGCGCGCGTGTAGGCTCAGGCCTGTCAGCGCAGCGCAGCGTTTGAGTGAGGTGGGGCGGGATGGCGAGGAGAGAGATAGTGTCAGTAGCGGAGGAGGGTGTTGGGAGGCCGTCTGGGTCTAGTTCGGCGCTGCCGTCGGTCGCGAGGTCAGTGACGTAAGCTGAAGAAATCTCGGGGACGGTGGTGTCCGATATGATTATCATTGGGTGATGAATGACAGAGGAGATGCGGGTTTGGGAGGGTATGGCTTCACTAGTCGTTGGAGTTAGCCGAATGATCACGCGCGCGTGCAGGCGAACAGGGTAAGGGAGGCACCTTTGCGACGCCGCGAATCCAGTCGATCTGCGCGCACGGCGGTAGAGCGAGGGTCGAGTCGATCGGCGTCCAGATGTCGTTCTGCAGGTACTGATACGGCGCCTCTGGGTCGCAGCGGCTCTTGTGGTGCGCGTCACCCACGAACCAGTGGCGTGACGTTCTGAAGTCGGCGTAGCTGGCATTCGATGGACTTGTAGCTGCGGGCACCGACGCGGATCTCGTTGATCTTCGCGCCGCTCTGGTACGAGTGCAGCAGTAGGCGGTCCTTCTCGAGAGTCCACGGCGGAGTGAACTCAATCGTGGTCAGTACTGTTATGTATATGCACTCTGCCCCCTATGCATTCGCATCGTGATATGCATCCTTACCGATCCATAACCTTAGCGCCTATACATTTACGTATTTGCAAAATACGTCGCCCTCTCCCACCCTCCCGCGTCGCGGCGCGTGAATGCATAACACAGATACATAATACATAGGCGAATGGATGCGCATTACGACCGAGTGTCACAAAACTCCTATGAATTATGTATTATGCATTTGCATTACGCACTGGGAGTCCACATCGTGTGTTATGTATTACGTATTACGTATTACGTATTGTGTATTACGCACTGCCACTGGGAGTCAACATCGTCTGTTATGTATTATGTATTACGTATTATGCGTATTATGCACTACGCACTGGGAGTCCACATCGTCTGTTATGTATTACGTATTACGTATTATGTATTATGTATTACGCACTGGGGGACGTGGGAGTCCACATCGTATGTTTCCTGCGGCTGATGCACATGCGCAACCGCTACACGGCCGGCATGCCGTTCCACCCCTAGGCTGCGGTTCAGCGTCTATTACGTGTACATGTACGTGTGTATTGAATATTGTTCAACGGGGTTGAGAAACCTAAGTAACGTGTAGACCGGCGAGATGGGGCGCAGCCCCAGCGAGCTCGTTTTTAGAGCGAGCGCAGCGAGCCGATAGAATAGAAAAGGTAGGGTTAGTCTTAACCCGGTCGGTGATAAGCCCGGAAATATATGTGACAAGAAGACCCCCAGCGAGCTCCGCTGTTGCCAGTGCACATACAACCCTAGCCAACTTATGGCAGCCCGAGCGGCAGCGCCAGTGCGCGCACATAAAGGGGGGTGGGTGGGGGGTTAGGGGGTGGCTGTCGAGGGCTATGCCCGAGTCTGTTGTTACCAGCGCACATACAACCCTAGCCAACTTATGGCAGCCCGAGCGGCAGCGCCAGTGCGCGCACATAAAGGGGGGTGGGTGGGGGGTTAGGGGGTGGCTGTCGAGGGCTATGCCCGAGTCTGTTGTTACCAGCGCACATACAACCCTAGCCAACTTATGGCAGCCCGAGCGGCAGCGCGAAGTTAGGGTCTGGGCCGAGGGGGGGGGGGGGGGTTAGGGCTGCATGCTGCGGAGCGGACTCCCCCCCCAGCTCTCACACACAACCCGGCGGAGGGTTGCGGCGCTTGAATACACAATACGGATACGTAATGCGTAGTACATAGCCCTCTCCGGCGGGCTTTCGGCGCTTGATACATAATACGGATACGTAATGCGTAGTACATAGCCCTCTCCGGCGGGCTTTCGGCGCTTGAATACACAATACGGATACGTAATGCGTAGTACATAGCCCTCTCCGGCGGGCTTTCGGCGCTTGATACATAATACGGATACGTAATGCGTAGTACATAGCCCTCTCCGGCGGGCTTTCGGCGCTTGATACATAGTACGGATACGTAATGCGTAGTACATAGCCCTCTCCGGCGGGCTTTCGGCGCTTGATACATAATACGGATACGTAATGCGTAGTACATAGCCCTCTCCGGCGGGCTTTCGGCGCTTGATACATAATACGGATACGTAATGCGTAGTACATAGCCCTCTCCGGCGGGCTTTCGGCGCTTGATACATAATACGGATACGTAATGCGTAGTACATAGCCCTCCCACGTGCAGGCGCCGCTGAGTGATACATAATACGGATACGTAATGCGTAGTCCATAGCCCTCCCACATGCAGGCGCCGCTGAGTGATACATAATACGGATACGTAATGCGTAGTCCATAGCCCTCCCACGTGCAGGCGCCGCTGAGTGATGCATAATACGGATACGTAATGCATAGCTCATAGCGCCAATGCGACATCGGCAGCGCTGCACTGTTTGCTGAGACATAAAGGCGAAAACATCGTACGTATTGCATAAGACACGCTATGGACTATGCATTCGCGCGACGTCTGACCCTGCCAATGCATAGGCAGGACACACGGGTGCATATAGGGCCGGTACGTATACATAACAGTACTGACCACGTCTCAGTGAACTTTGAGTTCACCGGCACGTTTTTTCGCGAACTCAAAACGGCAAGACCCACCTGGGGCGTGGGGGTTTGGCCCTCTCACTGAAAACACCGTGCGGAACGAGAAGTCATCGCACCACCACCCTAGGCAGCACAAAGCCGCGCCAGATGTCCGCCAGCTCTGGAGCCGCTCCCTCGCGGCCCTCGAAGCGCTCCTCGTCCCAAGCGATCAGGTAGCCCAGCCGCATCACCTCGACCGCCCGCTTGCGAGCCGCCTCCGGGAAGAGCTCGTGCGACTGCGGCGACCACTCCGCCGCCTTGAGGATGAGCCTGCCCACCTCCACCGCCTCGGCCGCTGGCAGGTTGGCCGGCCTGAGGGAGGGCAGAGGCGGGGATGTTCTGAGAGGATCCGGCGAGTGGGGGAGAGACCATTGCATTGCGCGCCTCAGTGCGAGTGCCTTGGCCTCCCCCGCCACGCGCACGCCGAAGCGGCACGTCGAAGCGCTTGCGGAGACGACGACGCCGACCTTGCCGTTCATCGAGGGCCGCGAGACGAGAGAGTGGATCGCGACGGTGGAGCCGACGGCCGCAGCGGTCGGATCCGACTCGCTCCACGAGCAGAGGACGCGCGCCCGCTCGAGGGCGGAATGCTCGCCGGCGAGCGGGTCTGCGCCGCCGCGCAGCAGCGCCCGCGCCCGGTCGACGGTGAGCGCCTGCAGAAGAGAGACAATGGGCGTGAGGACATATGCGCTCACGCCTTCGGCCGCTAGTCTGGGGCACGCCTCGAGATGCTGGAGCGGCGTCCAGCCGCGGCTGGCGACCAACCAGGCGGCGAGGTGCGTCGGCGTGGCCTTCATAGTTTGCAGCCTCCTCGGGCGTGCCAAAGGGCGTTGCGGCGCGGGAGGCGCCATAGGAGGAGAGGAGCTTGGCGACCTCGAGGTGGCCACTGTAGCACGCGGCGAACAGCGGCGTGCCGCCATCGTCCTTGGCTTGGTTGACCGCCGCGCCAGCCTCGAGGAGCAGCCGGGTGCACTCGGGGTGGCCCTCCTGGCACTCAATGAACAGCGGCGTGACGCCTTCAGGTCTCCTCGGTTGACCTCCCATCCCGCCTGCCAGGTAGTCGATACACTCGAGCAATCTCGCCGGCCGGCGAGGCACGGACAAGACCGTGTGTGGGGTCTAGTGAGGTGTCTATGGACGCCCTCCTCAGAGGCTAGCTGCCTACTGCTAGCCCTATCTCGCACTCACGGGCAGTGACAATTCAATGGGTGAGTGTTTGCGAGCAGAGGCGCGTGGGCTAAATCTAGGCCGCACGTCGTGGCACTATGACGAAGTTAGACGTGCGGCCGCAGCGCGCCCGCCCCAGGCTCGGCGGTGCGCGCGTGTTAGCGAGAAAGTTGCGGGTAGAGCCATGCCCGACTTTTCGAAGGTGAGGCCTCTGCGACGAGTGCCGGCCGGCCCGCGCTGCGGAGCCACACCCTTCGAGCCGCGTCCCGTCGGCACCGTCCCTGAGTGTGTCCCGCCTTGGCGGCACACACTCTCGACGAGGACAGTCCGGCCTACGGGAACGTGTCGCGCGCCGGCGACGGTTGCGGCGTGGTGGTTTGAGTACGACGCGAAGATGGCACGACCACCGCCCTGCATCGCAGGCCGGGCAAGGAGGGGCCTGCTCCCGTTCCGCGAGAACAGGAGGTCTCCCCCCCTCCCCGGCCTGAGCAGCGACGGGTGGAAGGCAGCCCCTTGAGTCGAGGGCGGCGCGACCATTGTGCCGCGTCAAAGGCCAGAGGCCCCGGTCAGCACAGATGGTCGCGCCGCCCCGCTCCGCCCCGCCCGCCGCCGCGCCGCGCCCTCGCCCGACGATTATTAATGCCCCCGACTGAATACCTCCCCCCAACGGAATTCTGGAATACAGACTATTAATAATTAATCACTCCAGGAGCAGTGCCGCCGCGTCGCCGCCGCCGTCCGCGCGCCGCCGCCACCGTCCGCGCGCCGCCGCCAGCCCGTGTGCTGCTGCAGCCGCCTCCGCCGCCGCCGCCCTCCTCCGCGGAGTCCGCAGTGCCCTCGCGCCCGGCGGCGCCCGCGGACAAAACCAGTCATAAAACCATGAGCCGGTTTTGCAGAGCGTACAAGATCTGCATGACTCCGTGGCACGATCGGCCGGCGTTCGAGCCGGCGCTCGTGAGAGAGAGAGAGAGAGAATTCTTGATACGAAACCACGACGACACACACCAGTCGACTCGTATCGGTTGCCTCCATGAACGGCGGAGCTATTCTCGCGTCCACACCACACCTGGCTCCAACGTGGACACGCCCATAGCTGGGGACACTACTAGGTCACGCATGGCATCCAGAAGTTTTATCTCTGGGCCCCGAAAGGCATCTCTAGCAGCGTCGTTACGCATGCGCCCTCCCCTCCTGGGCGCATACGCCTCACGTCTCGACAGAGCATAAGCCCTTGGCGTGTGACGAGACGAGTTCTTCGCCATCGCAGCGAGCAGCAAGCCACTCTCCGCAGCAGCCGGAGGCCTCGCCGCGGCACTGGCTGCGCCGCGGTCCCGCACCCGTCGACGAAGCTCCCCCCGCGGAAGACCGCGCGTAGCGACGCCTTGACGATCGAGATGAGCGCGCTTGAAGCTCGCCCACCTACTGCGCTCGTGTTAAACATCAAAATAAAAAGAAAATAAAAAGAAATGGTGCGTTACTGCAAGCGAGACGCGATTGTGTGCTCGAGGCCCCAGCAGGTGCTCGAGCCGCCAAGCATGGCGCATGCTATCTCAACTACGTGGGCGCGTATAATGCGGTCAAACCTCAAACGATCGATAAAGCTGACAAACGACGCTGCGTCCGAGAGTGAGTCTGACTCGGAGTCCGACTCCTCCAACGGCGAGCGCGAAGAACTGCCGCCGCCGGCGCCACCAGGTGGGCCCCGCTTGAGTCCGTCGGAGAAGGCGGCTGCGGACAAGGCGGCTGTGGACAAGGCGGCTGCGGACAAGGCGGCTGCGGACAAGGCGGCTGCGGACAAGGCGGCTGCGGACAAGGCGGCTGCGGACAAGGCGGCTGCTGAGAAGGCGAATGCCGACAGGGTAGCTGCACTGCTGGCGGCTGCCGAGAAGACGGCTGCGGACAAGGCGGCTGCGGACAAGGCGGCTGCTAAGAAGGCGAATGCCGACAGGGTAGCTGCACTGCTGGCGGCTGCCGAGAAGACGGCTGCGGACAAGGCGGCTGCGGACAAGGCGGCTGCTAAGAAGGCGAATGCCGACAGGGTAGCTGCACTGCTGGCGGCTGCCGAGAAGACGGCTGCGGACAAGGCGGCTGCGGAGGCGGCTGCTGACAGGGCAGCTGCGCTCCTGGCGAGTGCGGAGAAGGCCGCGGCGATTGAGGCTGCGGGCGAGGACGCGCCCTCCGACCGCGCCACGCCGATCTCGACGCCGCCGCCCGCCCTCGAGGTGTGGCGCGCGCGCGAGGCGGCGGGCGCGCTCTCAGCGTGGCAGCTGCAGCAGGAAGTGCTGCGCGCCGCCGGCGAGGGCGGCCGTGACGAGATGGCGGCTGTGGAGGGCCTTGCCGGCTCCAGCGGCGGTGCGGCGGCGGCGGCGATCAGGCCTGACGTGGCCGTGCTGCTGCGGCGGCTCGCCGCGGTGAGCACAGATGAGACGCTCGGCCAGACGCTCCGGCTCCTCCTGCACGCGACCGAGCCGGCGGGCGGTGGAGCGCTTGTCGCGCCGCCCGCACCGCCGTCACACGCATCGCCGCTGCCAGGCAGCGGCAGAAGCGCCCTCCCGCCGTATCTCGCGCCGCCGCCGCCGGGCCGTGTGAGCTCCGCCGCCGCCGTCTCGGCCGAGGCGCCGCCGCCCGTGGCCCTGTTCACGATTGAGAGTAGCGAGGCGCCGCCGCCGTCCGCGCCGCCACCACCGCCGAGTGGAGCGCCGCCGCCGCCGCCGCCGCCGCCGCCAATTGGAGCCCCGCCGCCACCTGCACCGCCGCCACCGCCGCCGATTGGCGCGCCGCCGCCGCCGCCGCCCCTCGCCGCCGGCGCCCCGAATGGTGGCGGCGGCGGGCCGCCGCCGCCACCGCCGCCGCCGCCGCCGCCGGTCGCCAAGGCGAGCGTGCCGATGCGACCCGTGCACTGGGAGAAGCTGGTGGGTGCGCAGCTCGGCTCGTCCGTCTGGGCGAGCGTCGCGCTCGACGCGGTGCCGATTGACCTCGCGCAGACGGAGGCGCTGTTCGCGGTGCCCAAGCCGGCGCCCAAGCCTAACCACGGTGCTGACGGTGGCGGGGGCGGCGGCGCGGCGCGTGGGAGTGCAGCGGCAGTGGCGGGCGGCGGCGGCGTGGGCGGCGGCGGCGTGCCAGCGGCGGCGCCGCTGCACGTGCTCTCGGTCCAGCGCGCGACCAACGTGGGCATCTTCCTGCGCAAGACGTCGAAGCTGCTCTCGCTCGAGCGGTTGTGCGCGGCGATCGTCTCGCTCGAGGCCAGCGTGCTCGAGCCCGAGCTACTCGACTCGGTCTTGTGCAACCTGCCCGCCAAGACTTGGGCAGAGGAGGCCAAGGCGTTGCGTGCGCTCAAGCACGTGCCGCCGTCGAGCCTCGCCGCGCCCGAGCGCTTCTGCTTCGAGATGGCGCGGCTGCCACGGCTGCGGCCGATGCTGCACGCGCTGCGGCAGAAGCACACGCTGCCGCAGGCCCTCGAGCGCGCCACCGCAGCGCTCGCGACCGTCGCCACCGCCGCGCGCCAGCTGATGGACTCACCGAGCCTGCGGCTGCTGCTCGGCTCGGTGCTGGCGCACGGCAACTACCTGAACGCGGGCACAAGGCGCGGCGGTGCGCGCGGTGTCAAGCTCGAAGCGCTCGAGAAGGCGCGCGGCGTCAAGTCCGCCGACGGCCAGCACACGCTCCTCGAGCACGCCTGCGCCACCTGCGGGCTGTGGCGGCACACGCTCACCTCCGAGCTCGGCGGCGTGCGTGCCGCGTGCAAGAAGTCGTGCAAGCTGCCGCTGCTCGATGTGATCCGCATCACCATCCAGGAGCTCGAGGAGGGCGTCAACAGCGTCGCCCAGGAGATCGCGCTCTGCCCTGACCTCGACGCAGACGTCGCCGCCGACGCGTCCGCGCCGCCGCCGAAGCGTGACGGTGGTGAGCCAAGCGAGGAGGAGCGGCAGGTCGCGCTGCGCTTCCGCAGCGCGATGGCTCCATTCCACACCGACATGCGCCGCGGCCTCGACGCGCTCACCGCACACCGCGACGAGACCAAGACGCTGCTCAAGCGCCTCGCCGCCTGGCTGGGCGAGGACCCCAACCGGGCCAACCCTGACAGCATCCTCAAGGTGTGCGCGGACCTCATCGACACGGCGATCGCGTGCGCGCGCGTGTCTGCGGAGGAGCATAAAGTGTAAGCTCACATGTCGACGGTCTCGTCAAGAAGATCGTTGGTGTTGGAAGCCGCCGCCGCCGCCGCCGCCGCCGCCGCCGTCACCACACACCTGCACGCGCCTGCTAATCCTGTGCCAAAGATCAAGGGCGCCTCGATGGGCATCGGCATCAAACGCTTGCCATGAGCTCGGTGCGCGTCGCACGTCGCTCCTCGCACTCGTCCTCGCCGCCGACGACGCCTCGAGGATGGGGGACCTCGTCGCCGAGCTCGCCCACACGTGCGCAGGGCTGCCAAAGTGCCGATGGCAGAGGCGGTGCTCCTCGTCAACGAGGCGAGCGCCTGCGCGCGTGCCATCGAGCAGGAGCTCGCGCTCTGCCCCCTTCCCAGACATTGGTGACGACCTCGCGACTGACGCCGGCGCCGACGCCGGCGCCGACGCGGGCGGGGCGCGGGCGGCGGCGACGCCGGCGCACAGGCCGCGGCGGCGCTGCCGCTCGAGCAGCAGCTCGCGCTTCCGTAGAGCGGCAGGCGCCGGGCACGCCGCCGTTGCCGCTGGCCTCGCCGCGCGACGAGAAGCAGGAGGAGGTGAAGACGACACTCCGCCGCCTCGCCGAATTGTCGGCGAGGACCCAAGCAAGGCTGACCCCGACGCGATCTTCCGCGCCGCCCGGCAGCTCCTCGACGATGCATCCGCGCAGGATCCGTGTTTATTAGGTAGACCCGTGTTTGTTAGGTAGACCTCCTTTCGGCAATTTTGGCTTCGCTGCGCTGCCTGGGGAGAGGTAAGTAGAGTAGAGGTACAGGTAGCCGTGTGTATGTGTCCGGCATGAAAGAAGAAAAAGCGAAGGAGATTTTTGGGATCTTCTTGTGGGAGGGTCCTCTCAGACTGCGGAGATTCTGTCTTAGCACACACAGTGAGTCATTCGGAGTCATTCGATGGCCAGAGTGCGATTGTGTGTGTGCGGGAGTTGGTTTGTCGGGAGGGAGGGGCAGGCTGCTCACCCACGTGCACCGGGCCAGTGCTTGCACTTTGAATGCCGTGGGGCTCCTGCCCGTGTCCGGGCGTGGAGATGCGAGGGTCGCCCCCCCTTGCCCCACCACTTTGTGTGTGTGGAGAAATCTATTTATAAAATGAACTCGGGGGCACGGGACGCGGAGAAATCTACCTTACCTTACCTTACCTCTCATTATTATGAAATGAACTCGGGGGCACGGGACGCGGCACAAACGGGGCACAAACGCCAGGCTACAAAGACGGGGAGGCACGTAGTGACGCAGGGGAGTCTAGGCGACGGCGGCGTCCTCCGACGCCGCGGCGAGCCTGAGCTCGGTCGCAATCTCTTCCGCCGCCGCGAGCTGCAGCGCGACTGACATGCGCTGGGCCTGCAGCGAAAGCCACGACCGCGTCGACCAGCTCGCCTCGTCCTCGTGCTGCCGCTTCGAGAGCTTGTTGCGCACCTTGTCCTTCATCTGGTAGAACAGCCGTTTGACCGCGTTGCACCACCCGCCGAAGGTTTCAAACAGGTACATCTGCACGTCGGTGTCCGAGCGCGAGAGGGCGTGCGCGTAGTCCGCCTTCTTGTACGCCTTACCTCTCAGACCGCGAGTTAGTCGCCCGAAGTTGGTTACACCGTGCGTCCCCGAAACCGCAACGCCACGGACATATGGAGCTCGACCCGGCCGCCCTGATCGAGCGGCTGGCCGAGCTTGATCGCGTCCTTGACAACCAAAGCACTGCTGCGCGGCAGTACGTCTCCCAGCGCAACCGGGCAGCGGGCGATGCCGTGCGCGCCGAGAAGGACATGCGCCGCCGCCGCGATGTCGCCCGCTCGGGTGTCAGGCCAGCAGATGCCGCCGAGATGGCTGAGCTGTCCGCGATCCTGCGAGACGCGCACCGCGCGACGTCGCCGCCGTGGGAGTCGCCCTCGTGGTTCAAGCTTTTCCGCCGCGTGGACGTGAATGGGTCTGGCCTGATCTCTTTTGACGAGTTTGCAAAGATGGTGCGGAGCCTGCTGAAGCTTCCAACGTCCCTGCTCTCCGAGTCGCGCCTCGAGGCGCTCTGGCTCGCCCTCGACGCGGACGGCTCCGGCTTGATCAGTAGCGGCGAGTTTGGAAAGCTCATGCGCATCGGAGCGCCGACGCCGGACTCTGCATCGGCATCAAGGCATTTTGTGTACGGGCGCAACCGGGCAGCGGGCGATGCCGTGCGCGCCGAGAAGGACATGCGCCGCCGCCGCGATGTCGCCCGCTCGGGTGTCAGGCCAGCAGATGCCGCCGAGATGGCTGAGCTGTCCGCGATCCTGCGAGACGCGCACCGCGCGACGTCGCCGCCGTGGGAGTCGCCCTCGTGGTTCAAGCTTTTCCGCCGCGTGGACGTGAATGGGTCTGGCCTGATCTCTTTTGACGAGTTTGCAAAGATGGTGCGGAGCCTGCTGAAGCTCCCAACGTCCCTGTTGTCCGAGTCGCGCCTCGAGGCGCTCTGGCTAGCCCTCGACGCGGATGGCTCTGGCCTGATTAGTAGCGGTGAGTTTGGAGCCTTCTTCAAGCTGTCGTTGCTCGAGAGCAGGAGCGAGCGCGCCAGTATCGCCCGACTGCTGAGGTCGCGGCATTGTGGCGGTGTGGTAGTGTGAGCTGGAGAGCTCAGCATCAGTCGGTTTTGACGCACGTGATGCTCGCACCTCGCAGATATAGTGGGAATATAGTGTAATTACGGGAGGGCGGATCGGGCGATGGGCACCAGACGGCCCCATACGGTGACACACAAAGGACCAGTCCCGCTGCACTACTACGTGCGCGGTATTGGCAGCGCCGCACCGGCGCTGGGTGAAGCGGTAGCATGGCGCGGGCAGCGGCGAGCGTGGCGCCCGCGCAACGGCCAACGCGCGCTCCCCATCGCGGAAAGCCGCGCCCCCCCTCTCGCTAAGTATGTTTTACGCGAATGCGATGGGAGAGGCTGCTCAGCTGCCGGTGCGACCACAGCGACCACCTAGATCATGACCTGCTGCGCCGGTGCGCCGGTCATGATGGCGCCCTTGGAAAGCCTCTTGCCGTTGCTGAGGCGGCCATTCTTGTCGACCCTGCGCTCTTGCGCGGTGATGGACGGCCGCGTGCTGCCCCACGGGCCGGCAGGGATGACGTGCTCGTCCTCGTCGAGATTTCCGTGGTCAGATTGTAATCATCTGTAGCGACCAGGGTGAGGGGTGGGAGTCAGAGTTCGGGGCACAAAGCGCGGAAAAGTGCTGAACGTGCTTGAGAGCGAGGGTTCTCTTCAAGCGTCGTTGGGACTGGCCTGCATAACCCAGCGGAAGAGACCGGTGATGGCGCCCAGCAGGATGGTGCCCGTGATGAAGACGGTGATGTACCCGTCGAAGATGTAGGACGGGTACTGCCTGAAGGCGCCGCGGGCAAACGGCGATGGCCATGGGCATCCTTGTGGGCACAGGCGGCGGCGGATATCCAGGGCCACTCACGGGTTCTTGAAGATGAGGATGGAGAGAATCAGCGTCGAGCTCGAGCGGAGGAAGTCGGACATCAGGTGCAGGAACGCAGAGCCCATATTGACCGCCTGCGAGGCCGCGTGGCGCGGCGCGGGTCGTAGGGGTGCGGTCCGGGGGTGGGGGGGGCGGTACTGGTCTCTTGAGCTCTGACCTCAGACTCGTCGTCCGCCTTCTTTGTTCCCACGAGTTCTCCAACGTCGGCCTGTCCGTAGCTCCTGAAGGCGAACAGCGAGCCGATGTCGAAGAGGAGGCCGAACAGCGCAAAGGCGCAGACGATGCGCGGGTCCACGCCAGTCCACACGCAGGCCGGGGAGCCGTCCTCGAGCGTCGGGGAATCTGCGCCGTCCGCGCAGAGGGGCGCGTTCTCCCACAGCTGCGCGTTCGGGTCGAAGGACTCGACCGCCAACGCGCAGCGCTGGCTTCGCCGGCCAAGCACGGCTCGAGGGGTCGGGAATCACAGTCCCGGTGAAGGCGTCGATTATGGACATGGCGTCGCAGCACGAGCTGTCGAACGCGAACGGGGCAGACCTCGGCGGCAATGTTGAAGCAGTACGAGAGCGCGTCAATCCCCATCGAGACGCAGTCGGCCATGAGCGCGGACGAGTTGGCCGCCCTGGCGGCAAAGACCTGCGCAGTTGTGATGACGGCGAATAGCACCGCGGAGATGGCGAGGATCTTGGCGTTGTCCGAGCACGGCATGTTGCCTGCAATGACAGCACGGAAGTCAGGGGAGCGCGAAGTGAGGGCGAGGGTGGGGCATGCCTCACTGCGTCTAGCGATCAGGGTCAAGCGATCTGGTTCCCCACTGCAGCCTGTTTCGGGACGTACGGTGGTTGACAGTTAGAGCGGTTTGGGGGTGCCCCACCAACCTAATTTCATCAATGGACCATGCTGCGCAATGGGTTGGCGATTCGCGGCAAACCGCATGTCCCGCGGGTCGTTCATGTTAAAAACGCCATTCGTCCTCATGACATATTTCCTGTCCGGCGTGCCGTCCATGTTAATGGGGTGGCGATTCGCGGCAAACCGCATGTCCCGCGGGTCGTTCATGTTAAAAACGCCATTCGTCCTCATGACATATTTCCTGTCCGGCGTGGCCGTCCATGTTAATATGCGGCCCACATGACCGCGCCGGCCGGAGCACCAGATATGGAGCTTCCCTTCTCTGGAGCCAGCGCGCAGGCTGCGCGCTCGCGTGTGTGTTGCGGGCCGCAACGATCGCGTTTGTCTGTTCTTGCGGCCATCATCTCTCCTCCCATTTACCGTGTCTAGATCGTTGTATGTGTCTCTCAAGACACTGATCCGAAGGATCCGGCGGTCAGCACTCTATGCATAACTCAAGAGTCCAGAGCGAGGTTCATTTTTGATGCATTGATTTATTGACGATTTCAAAATTCGGTTTTTGCGTTTCTTCTGATCTCGCTGCACGCGCCGACTGCTTCGTCTCCAAGATGACACATCTGTTGCTCTCTGCCGTGCTCGCGCGGCGGTCCCGGCGCCCCCCGCCCTTGCCGCCCGGTCAGGGGTGGAGAGGCTCAGCGCAGCTTGATGCCGCGCTCCTTGCACACGGCCACCAGCTCAGGCTGCTTCTCGTTGTCCACGCAGAGCTTCTGCGCGTAGAGCGTCTGCTCACGAGGGGAGGCGCGATGAGCGTTGGGCGGGGGAGGGGCGGGTGGCGAGGGGGGCGTCTCGCGCCTTCAAGCTCGGGGCGGCCCCCTCCTTGAGGGCGGCGGCCAGCGCCTTCCAGCCCTTGTCGCCAATCTTGTTGCCGTTGAGAACGAGCGTCTCGAGCCGCGGCGCTGCCCCGCTCGCGAGGACCTCCGCCAGCTGCGCCGCCTCCGCGTCGCCCCAGCCGAGGTAGCCGTAGTGCAGCCCGGTCGCCTTGCCAAACTGCTCCTTGAAGGCGGCCTTGTACAACCCCTTCACCAGCGGCTTGTCGTCCTTGCCGTTGGTGAAGCTCTTCGTCTCCAGCTCCGCCGCAAAGGCAGACGGCAGCAGCGGAGGGCGCCGGCCGCCGCCCTGGATGCAGTCGCCGATGAGGCTGCCGCAGTCGTACCCCACGCCGTCGCGCATCTTGCCGAGGTCGAGCGAGAGGTAGGCGGCCTTTGTCAGGCTCGCCCAGCTGTTCTCGGTGAAGCACCAGCCGCGGTCAAAGTACGCCGCCACGTTGGTGCCCTCGGCCTGGTCCTCCGCCTTGTGGCCGTCTGGGAAGGAGGTCAGCCGCAGCACGTATGTGTGCGGGTGGGAGTAGAGCGTGCCGAGGCAGCCCAGCCCCTGCTTGAAGAGCGCGTTCTGCTCCTCGGTGCGCACGACGCCGTTGGCGGGGTCGGGGTGCTGGTGCAGCGAGCCGAAGTCCCAAAAGACGCCGAGCCGCGGGATGTTAGGATCAGTGAGCAGGGCCTTGAGCGCCCTTGCGACGCGGGAGAGGTTGGCTCCGATCGGGTCGGGGTGGTCCTTGGTCAGCCACGGGTAGGAGAGCGCGGCGACAGGAAGGAACCAACTTGACCATGTCGCCTCGACGAGGTCGGCGAGGGAGAAGAAGGCCTCTTCGGGCAGCGCCTGGCGGTGAGTGAGGGCGCCGCCCGCCTCGGCGTGGCGGATGATCCACTGCGCGTCAAGGAGGGCGACGGCGCCGCTCTCGAGGACCGGCTCCAGGTCGCCGCCACCGTGCTTGCGCCACCGCACCAGCTTCTCCTCGTCCACGCCGAGCTCGGCCGCGGAGGGGAGGGCGGTGGCCGGCTCCGCTTCGGCATTGGCTAAGACGGCCTCTGCCGTTTTCTTGCGTCGGCGAGACATCTTCTTCTCGAACCACGCGCGCATGGACAGCTCGCGATGGTGCTCAACAGCGGCTCGGGCAGCGGCGGACAAACGTGAGCTGAGGGCGTGTCACGAGTGCGATTGTTTTTTGGTCACTTGAGCACTCTCGAGGTTCTCGAGGTGGATATCCTTTGGCCGCGTTGGGTAGCGAGGATTGGTGTAACCCGAGCCACGGAGGCGTGTTTTCTGGCGGCCGACCGTCAGTGCACGGAGTTGCCACTTCTCCGACTGCCCCGGCTAGTTCCCGAGTTTCGCGGGAGTGACCCCATGCGTCAAACCCGAGACCTAGCGCGGGTGGGTTGGAGGGGGCTCGCCCCGTTCCTCCCCATCGGGCCGCATGGGCGGCCACGCCTCGCAGATTCGTTTTCGCGCCTGGGTCAGGCGCGCGGGGCATCCCCCGGGTCGCTCGACCAGCGATCCGAAGAGTGGCCGCTATGCGAGGGAAAGAGCGGGGCCCTCGACGCCTCAGTCCGGCCCTCCGAGGGGGGAAGGGAATTGCGGGGTCCCCACGGGCGCCTCAGTTCGGCCCTCCCGAGGGG